AGCCTCCCGAGTAGCTGGGACTACAGGCATGCGCCACCATGCCCAGCTAATTTTTTCTATATATTTTTAGTTGTCCAGATAATTTCTTTCTATTTTTTTAGTAGAGACGGGGTCTCGCTCTTGCTCAGGCTGGTCTCAAACTCCTGAGCTCAAACAATCCACCTGCCTCGGCCTCTCAGAGTGCTAGGATTACAGGCGTGAGCCACCACGCCCAGCCTAGATAACTTTTTAAAGTCAGATTTATTGTATAATTCACATACAGTTAAATTTCCCTATTTAGTTTATAGTCTTAACAAATACATAGAGTTGTGTAACAGCGACTGTAATTAAGATGTAGAACAGTTTTATCACCCCAAAATTCACTTTTGCTCCTTTGGAGTCAACAAACCCCTTTTCCCCCAGGCCTTGGTAACCACTGATGTGTTTGCTGTCTGTATAGTTTTGCCTTTTCTGAAACATCATACAGTTGGAATCATACGGTCTATAACCTTTGAGTCTTGACACCTTAGCATGCATCTGAGAGTCATTCATGTTGTCGCATACATTGGTAACATGTTCCTTTTTTATTGCTGAGTAGTATTCCATTGTACGAATTTATCAGTCTATCCCTTCTCAGTTTAAGGATGTGTAGGTTGTTTCCAGTTTTTGGTGATTATGAATAAAGCCTCTGTAGCGATTCACACACCGGCACTAGATAACTCTTTTAGCCTCATCTGCAGCTGTTCCCCACACACCATATGCCAAGACTAAAGTGAGCTCCACTGTGCTCGGAGCATTCCTGCCTTGCTGCTATAGCTCACATCCATCTCTCCTTTATCTCCTCACATGTCTCCTCGTCTTCCCCTTTCAACTCTGTTCAGATTTTACCTTTCTTTCAAGGCGTATCTCAAAACATCTTCATTAGCACTTAGGTGCTTTAGGGCATTTATTTTACTTCATATTATAAACATTCATGTTATCATCTCTCCTGTTAGACTAGTGTGTCTTGTGTGTGGGAACCAGGATTGAGTTTCATTCTACTTTTGTTTCCTTCTAGCACCTGGCACAGACTTTGCCATTTTAACAGCTCAGTTGATATCTACGAATGAAAGGCTAAGGTCCTTGGTGCCTGTGGTCCTGGTGAGCGAGGAGCAAATCCACACTATTCATAGAACACAGTTGATTGCCTCCAGGAATCCTTCTTCTCTGTATTGGCAGATATAATCTGGGTTAAAAAAGATCCAGATCTTGTTACTTGATAGCATCACTAGTATAAGTTTCTTCAAATGCTTTTGAGTTAGAGTGGAGGGCATATAATATCACCCCTAGTTGAGAACCACTGTTCCGGTAGATTATGTCAGGGAAAGCTGATTGCTGAACACTTATCCACAAAAACTGACTTGAAAGTTGACTTATGATTCTAACTATGAAAATCACTCATCAAATTTAGGAGAGAGATGAAAAATGATTAGAGCCACCTAGCCTGGAGAAAGAAAGCATGGAATAATTTTAAAATATGGATAATTAATTTCTTTGTATAATTCATTGGATGAATTTGGTTATAATGAGATTGGGAGTTTATATATTGCTACATAAAAAATTTCACACATTGTGTATGTGATTTCTCTTGGGCTTAGGTTTACCTAGGACACCTAACACTAGGATGTCCCAGCAAACTTCATCTGCCTCCTTGGGTTCTCCAGAAGGCAATAAACGGAAAGTGGCCTTCTCTGAGATCACATCACCTTCTAAGAGGTCTCAGCCTGATAAACTTCCGACCTTGTCTCCAGTTCTGAAAGCCCCAGAGAAAACTGGAAAGATTCCTCTCTCTTGTACTGGGGGTGACAAGAAGGCTTCACCTGAATGTCACATGATCCTGAGAGCCCGGATCACAGCTTTGGAAGCCACAGAGATTATCAAGGAGAAAACACTTTCCCCTACCAGCGGGGGACAGAGATCCTCAGTGATGCCTTCAGTGATTCTGAAACCAGAAAGCATCAAAAAGAGGTGACCAGGGATATTACCTGCAGAGCAAATTGAAATCCTTCACATAAGGTTAACTGTGTGGGTCATAGTACGAAAAAATTAGAACAGTGGGTGGAAAACCTATGACATAGAGTCCCTAGAGAGCTTTTTGAAAAATACAGATTTCTAGGCTTCTTCCCAGACATAGTGAATCATGCTCCAAGCATTGGGCCCAGGAATCTGTATTTTGAAATGCTCTTCGGATGATTCTAATATGCCCAACCGTCATTTGGGGATCACTTCTATAGAAGATAATTTCCCAAACATGCATTGCTTCACAGTTCTGGATTTTATTAGTTGCTGTGGCTCTTTGCCACAATCAGTGTTTTGTTTTTTCTTTTTTTTTTAATTAGAAACCATTCTTAAATATATATAGTATAAGAAGATAATGCATCTAGAACAGTTTGGCTAGATAATGTTTGTAGATAATGGGCTATACAAATAAAAATGTGACAAGCCAGAAATTACACATTTCAGCGTTTGCTGCTCAGAAACTATAGCACCTGGCTCGTTATAGGTTGCTCAATAAATGCTTTATATTGAATATATAGCACATTTCTGCTAACCTTGATCCTGGGTGGACAGTAAATTCATAGATACATCAGAAGCAAAAAAGGACAAGAACCTCTGCCTGGGATTAGTATATTCTGGTTTCTAATGAGTCTAATTTAAATAATAAGGTTTAGGCAAGCTTTGATCTCTGGGTTTGAATCAAACTTCAATTATAAACTTTTTAACAAAGTGTGATTGGCTCTTTTCTAAAGTAGCTGTAAAAAGAATAGGAGCCAGTCAGACCACCTGACTATCTTTGAGTGTCTGCTGTGGATCCTTCGTGCCCAAAGCTGCCTCCCATAACCTTGCTGTAATATCTTGCAGGGGTGCAAAAGAACCAGAAGCTCAGAATGAAGTTACCTCTACTCCCCATCGTACCTGCAGAAAGAGTTCTCTCTTAACTTTGAATCGGATTAGGCAGCAGCTTCGGTAAGTCTGCTCCGTGGCAGGCAGAAAAACATTGCTGCCATCTGTGATATCTATAATCTTATCCCTTAAAGCCTCTTATATTGTTATTTGCCAATCCATTGAAATTCACCTTTTACTTAGCATGTCTGGAATTAATGTTAAGTTTCACATAAATGTCTAAGTTTGAAAGGGACCAGAAATCCTGTCCTGGGCTTAGATGGCTCCCATGGCCCTTGATCATCATGCTTGATAAGACTAATGTGGGGTGGGGTGCCTAAGAGCATGAATTTTGATTCTGATAGATCTGGATCTGAATCTGGGCTTTGTCATTTACTATCTGTGTAACCTTGGAAAGGCTACTTAAGCTTTCTAAGTCTGAATTCCTCATCTATAAATAGTAATAACAATATACAAGTCACAAAGTTGTTGTGGGGTTTAATGAGATAATATAAATAACACCAGGGCAGAGTGTCTCTGTAGCAAGCACCTATATTGCCTGGCTACAGGAAATACCCTGCAATACCTATAATCCACACTGATCTTTATGGAGTTCTTATTTAGACTTGAACACTGAATATCAGAAAATATGTCCCCACCATTCAGGTTTCTAGGTAATAGTAAAAGTGACCAAGAAGAGGAAGAGATTCTGTCAGCAGCAGAAATTTCAAACTCAAGCAGTGAGGAAGAAGAGGCTTCCATGCCATCCCGTCCAAGGAGGACACCCAGAAGAAGTGTGTCCAGGAACCTACGATCTTCCCTGAGGTCATCCTTAGAGACCCCCTCCAAGACGCCAAAGAAAACCGTATGGTTTTTTAAGTTTATTTTTCAGTGAAGCATCCCTCTCAGTTTAAAAGTTGTGAATGTTGAGGTCACCCAATTAGTAACAGCTGGATTCTGAGCATAGGTCTGTTGTACTCAAAGCTTTTCCTCTTGGAATATTCATGGAGGAAGGGACCTAATGAACTGTAGGACTGAAAATGAATCCATTGATTTTTGAATTCAAGTTCCTCTTAAGGTACATAATCAAATGGCCAAGAGCCAAACTTCCTGAAGTAAGTAAACTGATGCCTCTTTGCATTTCTTACAAAGAGCACCAGCAGAGTGCTTTGCACATGCTTAGGACTCTGGGTACTGCGTGCAAGGCTGCTGAGCTATAGTGCTGGCTTTGTTGTCCCACTTGATATGCCTAAGAAACTGGGAGTACTACTTAGGTACTAGTAATGAATTGGAATTGGTAACAACAAGATGGAACTAAGAAGTAAAAGGACAGCTTTTCTGTTTCCTGTGGAACTTAAGCAGAACATTAAAAGGTATTAAGAAAAAGAGGTCTTCTCATGTTCAAGTGTATTATAGAAACATTTGAATTAAAAAAAGTTAAATAGAAGCAGCATCTTGTTCTTTGGGACACAGTTTAGATGTGCTTAGTTAGAAGATTTTTCCTAAACCTGATGTCCATTTCTCCATATGAAGATGTGATTGGGCTTGTCAAAGAAAAACCTCTAGGGAAAGGAATCCAACAGATTATATTTGCACTAGAAGCCATCTTACCTGTAGTTTCTGAGATATGCAAAAGATTACCCTTGTTCTGGTTTGATTGTATCTCCTGGGTTCCGCCCAAAAGAAGGGATACAGGGCTGGGCACTTTCAGCCTAATAAAATAGGTCAAAAGTCCCTCAGGCTTCTTGATATCTTCTCAGCAAGGTTTTGTTATTCCTTTCCTGTTTTCTCCAAAATTAATAGATATAAACAGACAGGGTCTAATTGCTTTCTGCCTAAGGAAGAGGTAGAAAGATTATCACTGTCTAGCCAGGCTGAAAGCAGAGGGTAGGTAGAGTGAATTGCCCCCACAGAAGGGAGTGCTTTGTAGAGACACCATGAAGATGAGGGTAGCACTAGCAGGCCTGCTCTAGTGAGCCAGTAGCAAGGAAGAAAAGAGAATAGGGCTGTTAGCCTAGACTGATGCAGTGACCCTGGGGTTTGGAGTGGAAAGATCTGGTGAGGTTTCTCCAAGGACTGTGCCATGGACTGTGGTAGTCCCGGCCTATGAACAAAGTGTATGTGTAATGTGTGACGAGAGATGGGGACTCATGGCACTTTATACAGGAAGAAACTAAGAGGAATTTACCACCTCTCTTCCTTTTATCATATCAGCATGAATCACATTTGTTGGTGTCTCCTGAATGGTGTTTTGCTTTGTTTTTCATTCTGAAATAACTTCTTTGTTTCGAATATAGTCCAAGCCTAGAACTCCACGTCTTGCCATTCCTCAGATCCGCAACCGAAACCTGGCCGCCCAGGAGCCTACCAGCGTGTTGGAGCAGGCCCGGCTGAGGTAACGCTGCTCTTGGGCCCCTTTCAGATAGCCAGGAATGAGGGGCAGGAATGACTAGCAGTCACTAGTATATGTAATTAAGGTAGCGAGTAAAATGAATGTGTGTGTTTAGAAAAAAGGAACCTCTCAAGCAGCATCTGGTTGAGCCAACCTGGATAGGCCTGGGAGGAGAGACCTTCCAGTCTACAGCCATCATTTCCTCAGGGATGGAAGGTGGTTAATCAGGACAGTGCCTCTTGCTTATTGTGCCCTTTAGAACCATGTGGAGACTTTTCCAAAATGCATGTTTCTAGATCCTGCCAAAAATCAAGCAGAATCAGAACCTCCTATGGGATGAGCTCCACCCACATGATTTGAGTAGAGAAAGATGCCATGGGTTATGAGGCCAAGTAGAGGGATTTGAGAATGAAGGCATTCCCTTGCGTTTGAGGTTGAGTTGTCATGTGGAAACTGTAGACAGGTCTTTTCCATTTATCATTGAGTAGGTGGTGGTGAAATGCTTCTAAAGTCTTCTCTTTTCCTCATTTACCACCAACCATAGGCTGCATGTTTCTGCTGTACCTGAGTCTCTACCCTGTCGGGAACAGGAATTCCAAGACATCTACAACTTTGTGGAAAGCAAACTCCTTGACCATACTGGAGGGTGAGTGATGCTGAGACAGGCAGGTGGTCTGGGGAGGAAGGCCTCTGCTAGTATGCCACCTGAGGTGTTATGGTTCAACCGATGGGCTTTCCCAGTATCAGCAGAATAGACAAAACCATTGCTGAAGCCTAAAGCTGCTGAAGCAGCTTTTGTCGTCAAAGTAATTCTATAGGAATAGAAATTCTGCCTTTCAGGAAAAAAATGAAACTGGCCTTTTTTTGGTAGGCAGTTTGTATACAGCACTGCTAGTGGAATGAATGATTCTATATAAATGGGTCCTTATGTAGTCAAGATGAAGTGAGGAAAAAAAAAAAAGAAAAAAACAGGTCCTACTTTTATCAGCTTCCAAGGCCGTCCCTACTGCCCCCATCTCCCCATTTCAGGAGTCTTAGTCCCTCAGTACACATTCCCACATTCCAAAATGATTATGCGGTCAGGTGGCTGGCACAGACCTAGCCCATGAGCTTTCCCTTCTTGTTCTAGGTGCATGTATATCTCCGGTGTCCCGGGGACAGGGAAGACTGCCACTGTGCATGAGGTGGTGCGCTGCTTGCAGCAGGCAGCCCAAGCACATGATGTTCCTCCCTTTCGGTACATTGAGGTCAATGGCATGAAGCTCACGGAGCCCCACCAAGTCTATGTGCAGATCTTGCAGGTAAGCGAAGCTGTTTGGAAAATACAATTTCTTAGTGACACACAAAAAAAGAAAGGCTTGCTTAATTTTGTGTGTATCTCACGTGTTTATGATACACGGGCATTGTCCTTTGTGTAGAGGTGGCAAGGGCAAGAAAGGTGGAATTCTTACCCTCAAGGACCCTGAAGTCTAGGGGCTGGATAGTGGATGACTGGAAGCTGGTCGCTACCAACAAGGCAAAACCATGGGCTCACAGGTGGCAGTGTGACAAACTATGGCAAAGGGGTCAGTAGCAGGCCAAAGTTTGAACCTTGCTCTTTCATTCATTGGCTGTTGTCTTGGAGCAGGTTATAGAATTACGTAACAGTGATTTTAGTGGGGGGCTTCTGAGACCAGCCTGTGATTCATTTGCATTTCAAATGCACAGACTTTCTTTATCTCCTTTTTTGGTGCCTTCGCTTATCCTTCCAGGTTATGGTTAGGCTAAAGTAGACGGTATAATATAGGATACTGAATTCCTCAGACTAAATAGCTTCCTCCATTTATGGATTTAACTTTAAGCCCAGGGGAGTAAAATCCTTACAGTTTACAATTGTTTTTCCCCTAATGCAGAAGCTAACAGGCCAAAAGGCAACAGCTAACCATGCGGCAGAACTGCTGGCAAAGCGATTCCGCACTCAAGGGTCCCCTCAGGAAACCACCATCCTGCTTGTGGATGAGGTAAGGTGCCCACGGGAGGACTGGAGAAGAAATGGGGCATCCAGGAGTACTGGGTGGGAGAGGAGTCCTGGTTGCTTTCTACATTATCCGTGCCCATTCCCTGGTGGTGAGAGGCATGTGTCAGTTGACTGCCGTGCTGCTTCGGTGCTGTGACCTGGTTATGAGTCTTCACTCTGGAGCCCTAGCTCGGGCTCTGATTGACCCTGCATCTCTCCTTTTCCCTGGAAGCTCGACCTTCTGTGGACTCACAAACAAGATGTAATGTACAATCTCTTTGATTGGCCCACTCACAAGGAGGCTCGGCTTGTGGTTCTGACCATTGCCAACACAATGGACCTGCCCGAGCGAATCATGATGAACCGAGTGTCAAGCCGACTGGTAGGTTCTAGGGCAGTTCTCAAGCCCTCCTTACAGATCCGTAAACTGAGCCAAAGAGTTCTGCAAAAATGAAAACATAGAAAATGAAAATAAATGGGGAAGTTCAGAAATGTGATTTCTGAAATGCTTATAATTTCTATGTTGGAATGAAATGTGCATGATTTTCTGCAAACTTTCTATCTTTTTGGTGTTCTGCTACCTGTGTACTTTTAAACTGTACCAGGCCCTGGTACAGGTTTAATTATTTTAAAAAATGTTTAGTAGGTGCTATTGCTCATGTCTGTAATCCTAGCACTTTGGGAGGCCAAGGTGGGAGGATCACTTGAGGCTAGGAGTTCAAGACCAGACTGGGCAATATAGCCAGATCCTATTTCTTAAAAAGAAGAGAGAGAGAAAAAAAATTAGCCAGGTGTGATGGCACACACAGATAGTCCCAGGTACTCAGGAGGCTAAGGCAGGAGGATCGCTTGAGCCTGGGAGTTCAAGATTACAGTGGGCTATGATCACGTCACTGCACTCCAGCCTGGGTGACAGAGTGAGACCCTTTCTCTAAATAAATGAATGAATCAGTGAATAAATTTTAAGCACTTACAAGCTGCTAGGCAGTGTTAGGTGCTTAGAGTAGAGCAGCGAACCTGGCAGACTGTCTGCCCTTGCTGGCCTTGCAGTTCAGCAGGAAGCACATCACATCGTGAAAAGCATGATGAGTGAAGCCAGGTGCTGTGGTAGCGCATAGCATAGACCTGAAGATCCTCCCACCCACTTTAATCAGAGCACCTCCGCTTCTATTTCTAAATGATTCTGTTAGAATAAAAGTTTCTTAAATGAAACAAAAAAATAACTTGAGAATCACTGCCCTCCGGGATACCACTGGCCATTGTCAGTAATGATAGTAGCTGAAAACAGTGGTAGTCCTGGGATGAAATGTGTAAATCGTTATATGGGACTTGGGAATCAGGCTTGGAAACTCAAGGGTGGCTTTCCCCCTAGATAATTGATGGGCAATCAATGATCTTGTTCCTCTGTCATTTTGGTTCCCCAGGGTCTTACCAGGATGTCCTTCCAGCCCTATACTCACAATCAACTGCAGCAGATCCTGGTGTCCCGTCTCAAACATTTAAAGGCCTTTGAGGATGATGCCATCCAGTTGGTAGCCAGGAAGGTAAGTCACCTTCGGGGAACTCTAAGCAGCACCCACAAACCAGTCAGCAAGTCTTTGCTGAGTACCTACTGGATATGAGGGCATATGCTGGGTGCTCTGGGGATGAAGAGAAATTTAGAAAGTCCTGTAAAAATAAATACCAAAAAAGAATAAATAGAAATAAGTAAATAAATAAATGAAAATAAATTTTAAAAGAAAGGAAGAAAAAATCCAGAAAAATTCCTTAACTATTGTATGATTGATTAGAAGGCCATTAGTATTGTCGGCTTCTAATACAAACTAATATTAATTGATTCAGAGAGCAAGCAGTTTTGTGTAATGAAAGAGCAGTATAGTCAAGTAGGCAAACCTGGTTTGAATTCTGGCTCTGACACTTAGTAGGCATGTAGCGTATTATAGGAAAGTTACATCAAAACTTTTTCTCTGAAAAATGAGAGTGATAATAATTACCTCATAGGGTCATTGTAAGAATTCAGCGATCGTGTCTGTGACATGCCTTGCAAGGCACACACTGCATGCAGGGTAGGTCTGAGGTGTTGGATGCCTACTTACACCTTCCAGTTTACTAGGAGAATGGCAGGGGAATGAGGGAAGGAGGGAAGGAAGGAACGAACCACACATCCACAAATATTTTAGCACTTAAAAAAATTATAAACTTAATTCTAGTTTCTTCTTGCCCTTAACAGTCTGAACCCTGAATGGCTACAACAGCAGCGCATGTCTGTGCCTCCTGCTTGGAGCCGGGTACTATATTAGGTGCTAGGGTCAGAGGTGAGCCGGGTATGGTGCCTGTCTCCAAGCTGTCCTTTCTAGGAGAGAGAGCTTCATTTAAGATGATTTGTTTCATCAGCTCAGAGCCTAAAATAGTTTTGGCAGACAAATCTATGTTGAGGCCCAGCTAACAGGATATTTCCAAGAAGTTCGTACTAGAGCCTTCAGAATAACCATTATTTTAAGAATTATTTTACCATCATTTCACCATTATTTTAAGAATCATTTGTTAGAGTTGATTTTTGTGAGAGGTGGAAAGTTCAGGTCCTGTATCAGTCTTTTGTTTGAGTTGATTATCATCAGAGATGAGAAGTGCTCATTTCTTTAGACTGAAACAGGATCCGCACTTTTCACCATTATCTTAAGAATTATTTGATTCATCAAATGACTTAAGACTGTCTTAAGCCTAAGCCTAAAACTGAATTAAGCCCCTTACCCACCTAGCACCAGGGTCAAAACAGGCAATTTTTCCTGCCATCCCTTCTGTGGGATGGATTTCATTCATCCTCATACTGAGGCTGCAGTGGAGGCTGAGTTCCAAGTTCATGCCAAGGCTCCTATTAGATTCCATGTTGGATGGACCCTGGATTTTTCTTTCATCTTCCTTGCCCTAGCAGCAGTCAGAAAGGATGCTTAGGGTCCCCAAGGTTCATAGATGAGGCGCTGCTCCACCAGGCTGTGGGGGTGGTGATAGGAGGAAAGAAGGGATGAGGCAGGACGTACACAGCATCCTTACCAATTCAATGTGGGAGATTAGAGCAAGGGACAAATATAAGCTGATGTGCATATTTCTGTCTTGGGTTATCTGAAAAGTGATTTTTTATTGTGAATGTCTTAAATTTGAATTCAGGAAACAAATAATACACGAAACATTTTAAGTCACCTGTAATCCCACTTCCCAAAGATGATTACTTTTAGTGTCTTGGTGTGTTGTGTATATATACCTATACCATGAATTTTGGAAGGAAATAATCATTTTGGGGATGTTGCCAGGCAGAGTATGATGGTAGTCAGGTGGATGGTAGACATGCTGGCAAGTGCTGACAAGTACTGGAAATACAGAAACTGAGATCCTTGCCGGCTACAGTGAGTCAAAAAATTCCCTTTGTGAGACTTAAAATGCAAGAGGCGTTATAAGTGGGCTTGGAAGAGAATAGAGGATTCCCTAAGGGGCCCAGGAGCACTGGCAGAGCCATGGGCTTGTGAGTTGATCTGATTCATCTAACAAGACAGTGGTTTTGATTCAGGGATTAGAATCCCATGCACAATATAATCATTCCCGTGCTTCCTCAAGGCTCCTTGCCAGGGTTAAGTACTTAACTTTAGGCTTAAGTCAGTCCATTGCCAACACCACCTTTCCTTTTCAGCCGAACACAGAATCTATTGATTCTTTTGGGTTAAGATGGCCTCAGGAATAAAATAATCCCTCTTGGTAGGTAGCAGCCCTCTCCGGAGATGCACGACGCTGCCTGGACATCTGTAGGCGTGCCACGGAGATCTGCGAGCTCTCCTCCCAAAAGCCTAACTCCCCTGGCCTGGTCACTGTAGTCCACTTAATGGAAGCTGTGGATGAGATGTTTTCATCATCATACATCACTGCTATCAAGTAAGCTGCTCCACAGTTGAGGAAGGCCATGGAAACATGTTTCCCTTCCTAAGCATTTACTCATTCAATCTACATTTACTAATGACTCAGTTCTTTATCTAAGGGGCATAGTCTAGTCAAGGAGACAGAAACAAACCTGGGATAACAGAAGTACACTTGCCATTTATTGAGCTATGCTACAGGTGCAGGTGTTTGGAGAGTAAACGTGCTATGGGAACAAGAAGGAAGCAGATAATTCTCTCACACAGAGTGGTGTGCTCAGCTCTTGAAATGAGGGTGTGGGTATTTTTGAGATACCAGTATATTTCCAGATGTAGTTCCCATGTTCCCTCACTTCCAAAGTGGCATTTTCTGTATTAGTTTGAGACATTGGGGCTGAGGGGGAACCTTGCCATATAACACAGGAGAAAGTATTCCCCAGCTTTTTCTCTTTCTTCTCTGAAGACACAGAAAAGCTTTGTTTGGCTTTCCTCTGGGCTGGTGGTACATCCACTTACAAGAACTCACATTTCCTCATTTCCTTTAAGAAACTCCTCCGTTTTGGAACAGGGCTTCCTGAGAGCCATCCTTGCAGAGTTCCGCCGATCAGGACTGGAGGAAGCAACATTTCAACAGGTGATCCCCTTTTTTCGAATTCTTGGTTTTGGTCTGGGGCTTTTAAAATATGTGGAAATTTCAATCAATGTATATCAGTTTGTCTCTATCTTGTGCCACCCTGACTATGTGAAAGAACATCAGACCAGCACCTATTTTTATGTGATATTTTATCGAGTTGCATGAGAAGAGAACTTTGGCAACTGGTTTCTGCATGTTAGTTTGAGGGCCTACTATGTCCCAGACACTGTTCAAGGAGTAAGATGAACAAGACAAAGTTACTGCCCTAATCCAGCTTATGTTGTAGTAGGGGCAAGGCCATGTTTGAAGACAGAACAGGTCAGTTTGAACACTGTTTGAACATAGTTTCAAGTAGATCAAGTAAGGGGAATCAGAGGGCTCGTGCCTCAGTTTACTGAAGACTGGTATCCCTAGGTACTTGGCTGCCTTAGAAGAGGAATTATTAAAGGTGTTTGAGTGTGTACCTGAGTGTGTATGTCTGTGTTTCCGTATATTCTAGACATCTTTATTTACCTAAAATAGGTCAGGGAAACATTTTCCTTTCAGCTACTTCTTTAATGGACTGGTTATAAATTCTTTTATAAATATTTAGTTGCTGTTCATGTTTTGCTCATTATTGTCCTCCTACAGTCCGAGACAGCTCTTCTGCAGAGAGTAACTTTCATTGTAGTTTGTAAAAATTTCCTGAACATCTACAGTGTGCCATTCACTGACGGGTGCCATGAACCCTGAGCTGAATTGGTTAATATCCTTGCTCCTGACAAGCTCCAAGTCTTGCTGGGGGGTGGGGTGGGGTGGGGTGGGGATAGACTTGTAAATATTTAGAATGGAGAGTGACCAGAACTGCTACAGACTTGTCTGATCCAGCTTTAGGGGAGGAATCTGTGTTTCCAGCTATCCTCCTGCCTCCCTATATTTCTTTACAAAGGGCTTTTATACTTTTCCAAGGGTCATGCCTTGGCATCTGTTCACACTATCCGATAAGGAAATTGTCTAGCAAAATTTGACTTGAATTTTGACATTCTCAACTGTGGAACTCTCAGTTCTGGAGTCCTGGAGACCAGGACCATTTGTATAACAGTGACATCACTGGGGCACCCATTGATGCCTTCTGGAGTATTTGGTATCCTGGATACCATGTGTCTAATTTTCTTAAAAGAAGAAATAAATGATCAGATACAGCCCCAGGACTGCCTTTCTTCTTAACCTTTGCTTTGCTTTTCGTGTCTAGATATATAGTCAGCATGTGGCACTGTGCAGAATGGAGGGGCTGCCATACCCCACCATGTCAGAGAGTATGGCTGTGTGTTCTCATCTGGGCTCCTGCCGCCTCCTGCTTGTGGAGCCCAGCAGGAATGACCTGCTCCTTCGTGTGCGGCTCAACGTCAGCCAGGATGATGTGCTATATGCGCTGAAAGAAGAGTGAAGAGGCTTCACGAGGAAGGACTGTGATCTGCTGTTTTTGAAAGAGCTTGATTTCCTTTTTCTAAGCACATGGAATTATTGTAGCAAAGTATACTGAACGGAAGTGGCTGTCATATATTTTGGAATTTTCCATTAAATAATTTGCTTTTTCCAAAGCATTTTAGAAGTCATCACAAACATCAGTTGTAATGATTCAATCATTATAAAACCAAAACCAAACTTTCCTTCCTATAATAGGCCCTCCCTCAGACTTTTATTTCTGTTACTAGCCCTGCCATTTATTTAATGATAATATACCATATATATAAGTACACATCATACCTGTATGTATATAAAATAGTTCTGGGAGAAAATATAAGAAATTGGTTACAGTGGTTGCCTCTGGGAAAGAACTGAATGGCTAGGGTCAGAGTTTAGAGTAGGACTTTTCACTGTATAACATTATGTATCTTTTAAGTTTTGAACAACTGAAACAAAATTTAGCTTGTAAAAAAACTGCTGGAAATAGTATCAGTGATAAATAATCTCTAGCAACAAAGAGTTAGAAAATGTAATTTTTAAAAAGGTACCATTTATCATAAAAACTAATCTTTAAATATAATGGATTTATATGGCACAGAAAATATAAGGTACCTGGGAATAAATCTAATAAAGAGATGCAATTAATCTCTAGATGCAAATAAATTCCAATCAGAATCCTAGCAGGGTTTTTGGTTTGACTTTGCAAGTTAATTCTAATAATTATATGGAAACCAACAACAGGACAAACTGGCATCTAAGGCCTCACATGAGGTACTGAGAAAAAAACAGCCTCATGCAATAGTCCTGTCAGTGTTTGGCCTAATAAGAAAAAGGAAAAATGGATAAGTCATCCACAAAAGGAGAAACACGAATGTCCAACAAAATGGAAACAGCAAAAGAGGCATGCAAACCAAAACCATTTCACATCTATTAGAAAACCTTTCTGTGATGACATGGAACTGGAACCCAAGTGCCCCGCTGATGGGAGTGGAATAACTACTTTTGCAGATAATTTGGTGATAATTGGTCTGGAAAATGCAAGAAATCCTATAGGCCAGCCATTCCATTCCTAGGTATATACCTAAAGAAGTTCACATATGTACACCAGGAGTCATGTACAAGAATATTTAAGCATTTTTTGTGATGGCAAGCCATTGGAAAAGTGACTTATTTTCATACTATGGAATCCCATACAAAAATGAAAATCAGCTAACTAGATGAAATATACATACCAGTGTGGATGAAGCTTACTAACAGTGTTGAGCAGAAAAAAGTTGAATTACTCAGTGTGATATTAATACCAATGATAAACATTTCAAAGCTTGCAAAAAACTACTACGTGTTGCTTAAGGATACGTACGTATATGGTAGAAATAGAAATGCTCAGGAATAACAAACACCAAATTCAAGATAGTGGTTCCCTCTTTGGGAAAGGGAAGTTGCAATATGGGAGGCGTACAGCTGGTTTCAAATATAGTGTTTTTTCTTAAACTTGTAATAGGTGCCCATGTAGTTATGTTAATTAACACACAAGGAACTACTGAGTGCCTACTATGTACCATGTACTGCCCCAGACACTGGAGATACCTTGGAGAAGAAACAAAAATTTCTGCCTTTGTAAATGTGAAATATTGTATGTCTTTGTATATATCTTAAATATTTCCTACAAAATTTTTAAAGGAATGAGAAATATGGAAGTAAAACATCAATTTAAAAATGGTAAAATCTGTCTCTTCTCTGGGAAATCACCCCAAAAGCAACAAGCAGATGGAAAAGCTGTTTGTCCAAGGAAACTACAAAACCATAATAAAACAGTTTAGGACTACAGTCCCAATCCCCGCGCTTTGGCCCAGTACCAGTCAGTGGCCTCTTAGGAAGTGGCCTGCGCATCACCGCCTAAGCTCTTCCCCCCACAAAAAAATTGTCTTCCATGAAATATAGGAACCGTTAACCAGCTGTACAGCAGGAGATGAGCAATGTGGGCGCCAGCAAAGCTTCATCCATATTTACAGCCGCTCCCCGTCACTCGCATCACCGCCTTAGCTAGGCGCCCCCCATCTGTGGAAAAAACTGTCTCCCATGAAACCGGTCCCTGGTGCCAAAAAGTTTGCGGACCGCTGGTTTAGGAGGTAGGCAGAAGTATGTGAGGAGGCAATGTTTTAGATCGAAGAGACTAGAGGATGTTTAGAGGTTGCTTTTGTATTTCCCTGGGCAAGTAATTTTCTCTGAGCCTGCGTTTGTTTCGTCCAGGGATCATGGCCATCTTGTAAGACTGGGATTTGAGTAAGATCCACTAAGAAAAGAGACTGTTACAAGCTTGGCAGAGAAGAGGCACGCGCCATTTTTCTTTAAACCCCTAACCCCACCCCCACTCCCAATTTGATTGCACTGCGGGGTAAAGGAGTACGAACTTAGAATTAGATTAAGTGTTCGAGGTGTGATCTCTGCTTGTCTTATCTGAAATTTTCAACTGACTAGAAAGGGTGACCTTCAGGTGAATTACTAAGAAAAATAGGGTGAGCCCCACTGCCATCTCCTGGAGACTTACAAGGACACCGACTAAGGTGGCAGGCGGGCAAGCCCCCCGAGGGGCGGAGCGAGGACCTGAGGCGGGATACGACCTGCGAGCCGGAGCTCAGTGGCGTGGGACTGAATGAGGGGGGAGGCTTGGCGGAGAAGCTGTAAATGGGCAGGGGCCGCGGCGCACCTGCTGCGTTTGCGCAAGCAGCTGGGAGCCCCAGCGGAACCGCCCAACGCTGTTGCTGCGCTCTACCTGCCCGAAGGCGCCTGCGCGCTGCAAACCCCACCCTTGGAGTCACCTGTCGGAGCGCCCCGCCAGCTTCGCTCCGCACATGCGCATTGCGAGCCGCCCGGGCATTGGAGTCACGTGTTGGGGGCGAGCCGCCTCCCGCGCGGGCGCTTCCTGTCGCTGTAGCTGCCGCTGCCGCCTGGGGTCTGCGGGAGCCCCAGGGCGGTGTCGGGCCGGAGAAGACCGGGATTTGGTTCGGATCCGCCGCGAGGTATGCCGCATACCCGCACCCGGCATGGGGAGAACTGGGGACGGCGGGGGAGATGGAGGCGGCTGGGCGGGGCAGGGCAGGGCAGGGCTCCGGCGTCGCCTCCCGCTGCGGACTCTGCCGCCCCACCTCTGTCCTGAGCCAGGCCTGGCTCCGACATCTGAGCCGCAGGCTTGGAGTGTCTGACCGACCTCGTCTTTTCCCTGAGACCGGTTACTCCAGTGGCCCCGGCTCAGTTGACGGCCTTGCAGTTCACCCAAGTCACCGAAATCTGACACCCGTGTGCTCACATCCAGTTAACCTCGGAGCCCTGTTGGTTTTACTTCCTACGTCTGGAATTCGTCCACTCCTCTCCATCCTCACCGCCACCCCCACGTTCCCTCAACTTGCCTGGACTGTTGCAAGATGCTCCATGCGGAGACGGCTTCCTACCTTCTCCCTCTTGCTTCCTGTGCACCTTCCCTTATGCAGCTGGAGTGATGTTTCTGAAGCGCCGACCTGATCCCATCCATTCTTTCCCCATTCCCCTCAGAATAATGCCCAAACTACTTATGCTTAAAGGTTTCTCTGTTTTGCTGCTGGTTCAAATTTCCATCTTGGTTTGTACCATTTCAGGTCTCACGTGCATGCCCCGGTAATACCAGGACTTTAGTTTCCCTGTGCAGGCCAATTTGTTTCTCTTCGATTATCAGGTTGTTCCCTCTGCTGGGAATCCTGTTCCCCATACTTCCCCCCAAATTCTTCATGATTCAGTCCACACATCACCTCCTCTAAGGAGCCTTTAATGTCTGTGCTGGAGAAGGGTTCACCTCTGGGCACACACAGCCCTTGGAGCAACCCTGTGTAGTGAGTCTGTCTGTACCATGTAAATGGTCCTTGAAGGCTGAGACCATGGTAGATTCATTTCTGCACTCCCATTGCCCAGTACAGGGTCTGACACATAGTAGGTCCTATGGGTGGTTATGAGATCTTTGAGAGAATCAAAATGCTGAGTCAGGTTTCTCTAGAGCAGAAGTGTCCAATGAATTTTCTGTGATTATGAAAATGTTCTGTATCTGTGTTGTCCAATGGTAGCCACTAGCCACAAATGGCTATTGAGCACTTGGAATGTGTCTAGTGTGGCTGAAGAACTGGATTTTAAATTTTATTTAATTTTAATTCATTTAAATTTAAACTTAAGTAGCCACGTGGTTTCCATAATGGACAGTGCTGCTTTAGAGTCTTTCTGAATTCTACCGAGCCTTGTATACACTCTGAACTTACAGTTACTTTGTTGAACCCGCTTTCCAAATTTGAGTCAGTTCAGTAACTCTGTTGTGTGTCCACACTCCCCTCTTTTTTTGTAAGACAGGGTCTTGCTCTGTTGCCTGAGGCTAGAGTACAGTGGTGTTGTCATAGCTCACTGCAACCTCAAGCTTTGGGGCTCAAGCGATCCTCTTGCCTCAGCCTCCTGAGTAGCTGGCACTATAGGTGTGCACCAGCATGCCTGGCTAATTTTTGTGTTTTCTTTTTTTTGAAGAAGAAGACATGGTTTCCATCTTGGTCAGGTTGGTCTGGAACTCCTGGCCTCAAGCCATCCTCCTGCCTGGTTCTCCCAGAGTGCTAGGATCACAGGCGTGAGCCACTGAGCCTGGCCCTTACCCTCCGCATTAAAACCATTAACAGGCTGTCCCCATTCCTTCCCCATGTTGCTTGCTTTAGTGCTGTAATTCCAACATTAGTAATTCATCCCTTGGTGTTAAGCATTGCCGCCTTTGGAAGTTTACTAACCACAGCTTACCAAAGGGAGCACTGTTGGCGGCAGGGCTTATAGGTACTCCAGCCTGAGTCTTTTCAACTCCCCACCAGATAGGTGTCTAGGCTGCGAAGATGCCAGGGCCAAGACCTCGGAAGGGCCCTCAGACCAGTGGCCAGGGTGTGGCAGCTGCCAAGCAGGTATGAACATAGCCTCCTACGCCCCTGG